TATTCTATGTTCATGGATTGGAAGAATTAATATTGTTAATATGTCTATACTACCCAAAGCAATCTACAGATTCAGTGCAATCTCTATCAAAATACCAATGACGTTTTCACAGAAATAGAAAAAACAACCCTAAAATTTGTATGGAACCACAAAAGATCCAGAATAACCAAAGCCATTCTGAACAAAAATATCAAAACTAGAAAAATCATATTACCTGACTATAAATTATACCATAGAGCTATAGCAACCAAAACAGCATGGTACTAGCCTAAAATAGACATATAGAGATCAATGGAACAGAATAGAGAACCCAGAAACAAATCCATACATCTACAGTTAACTCATTTTTGACCAAGGTGCAAGAACACACCTTGGGAAAAAAGTTTCTTCAATAAATGGTACTGGGAAAACTGGACATCCATGTACAGAAGAATAAAACTAGACCCCTATCTCTCACCATATATAAAAATCAAGTCCAAATGGATCAATGACTTAAATCTAAGACCTCAAACTATGAAACTACTAAAAACATGGGGAAACACTCCAGGACATTAGTTGCGGCAAAGATTTCTTCAGTAATACCCCACAAGCACAGGCAACCAAGCAAAAATGGACAAATGGGATCACATCAAGTTAAAAAGCTGCTTGCATGGCAAAGAAAACAATGAAGAGACAGCCCACAGAATGGGAGAAAATATCTGCCAACTACCCATCTGACAAGGGGTTAATAATCAGAATATAGATGGAGCTCAAATAACTCTAGAAAAAAAATCTAATAATCCCATTAAAAAATAGGCAAAAGATCTGCCTAACATTTCTCAAAAGAAGACATACAAATGGCAAATGGGTATATAAAAGTGTGTTCAACATCACCATTAATCATCAAAGAAATGCTAATCAAAACTACAATGAGATATCATTTCACCACAGTCAAAATGGCTTATATTCAAAAGATGGGAAATAACAAATGCTAGCGAGGATGTGGAGAAAAGGGAACCCTGCTATACTGTTGGTCGGAATAGAGATTAGTATGACTACTATGGAGAACAGTTTGACGTTTCCTCAAAAAAACTGAAAATAGAGCTACCATATGATCCAGCAATCCCACTGCTGGGTATGTACCCAAAAGAAAGGAAATCAGTGTATTGAAGAGATGTCTGCACTCCCATGTTTGTTGCAGCACTGTTCACAGTAGCCAAGATTTGGAAGCAACCTAAATGTTTATCCACAGGTGAGTGGATAAAGAAAATGTGGAACATATACACCACTATTTAACCATAAAAAAGAATGAGATCCTGTCACTTGCAACGACATGGATGCAACTGGAAGTCATGTTAAATGAAATAACCAGGCACACAACGACAAACCTCCCATGTTCTCACTTATTTGTGGGAGCTAAAAATGAAAACAATTGCGGTGCCTCATGCCTGTAATCCTAGCACTTTGGGAGGTCCAGGCGGGTGGATTGCCTGAGCTCAGGAGTTTAAGACCAGCTTGGGCAACACGGTGAAACCGTGTCTCTACTAAAATACGAAAAATTAACTGGGCGTGGCAGCATGCACCTGTAGTCCCAGCTACTTGGGAGGCTGAGGCAGGAGAATTGCTTGAACCCGGGAGGTGGAGGTTGCAGTGAGCCGAGATCACGCCACTGCACTCCAACCTGGGCAAAAGAGTGAGACTTCATCTCCCCCCCACCACCAAAAAAAAGAAAACAATTGAACTCAAGGAGATAGAGTAGAAGAATGGTTGCCAGAGGCTAGGAAGGGTAGTAGGAGTGGAAAAGTGGGAGTCCCAGCTACATGGTAGGCTGAGATGGGAGGACTGCTTAAGCTCAGGAGGTGGAGGTTGCAGTGAGTTGAGATCACACCACTGCAACTCCAGCCTGGGCAACAGAGGGAGACCCTGTCTCGGAAAAAAAAAAAAAAAAAAAAGATGATAGATCAAAGCACTTTAATAAAATTGGGCCATACTAGAGATGCTATTGTTTGAAATAAAAGATATGAAGTGGCTTTTCCGCCCGCTCCCCCCTTCCCCCCAGCGCCCCTCCGGCTGCACCGCGCTCACTCCGGGTTTCCGGCTCCTGCTAAGCTAGCGCCGCCGTCGTCTCCCTTCAGTCGCCGTCATGATTATCTACCGGGACCCCATCAGCCACAATGAGATGTTCTCCGACATCTACAAGATCCGGGAGATCGCGGATGGGCTGTGCCTGGAGGTGGAGGGGAAGATGGTCAGTAGGACAGAAGGTAACATTGATGACTCGCTCATTGGTGGAAATGCCTCCGCTAAAGGCCCAGAGGGCGAAGGTACCCAAAGCACAGTAATCACTGGTGTCGATATTGTCATGAACCATCACCTGCAGGAAACAAGTTTCACAAAAGAAGCCTACAAGAAGTACATCAAAGATTACATGAAATCAAAGGCAAACTTGAAGAACAGAGACCAGAAAGAGTAAAACCTTTTATGACAGGGGCTGCAGAACAAATCAAGCACATCCTTGCTAATTTCAAAAACTACCAGTTCTTTATTGGTGAAAACATGAATCCAGATGGCATGGTTGCTCTATTGGTCTACCGTGAGGATGGTGTGACCCCATATATGATTTTCTTTCAGGATGGTTTAGAAATGGAAAAATGTTAACGAATTTGGCAATTACTTTGGATCTATCACCTGTCGTCATAACTGGCTTCTGCTTGTCATCCACACAACACCAGGACTTAAGACAAATGGGACTGATGTCATCTTGAGCTCTTCATTTATTTTGACCGTGATTTATTTGGAGTGGAGGCATTGTTTTTAAGAAAAACATGTCATGTAGGTTGTCTAAAAATAAAATGCATTTAAACTCCAAAAAAAAAAAAAAAAAAGATATGAAGTGTAGTTAATAATTTAAGTGTAATAGAAGAAAAGGAGCCTAAGAAAGCTTGAAAAACATTGTTGCACTTCATATACATCTTCTTTGCTTACATTATAGTGAATAATGCTGCAACAAACATAGAAGTGCAGATATCTCTTTGCAACATGAGAGATTCATGTAGATATAAGAGACTGTGGAGACTGTTTCAAGATTGGAGTTACAATTAGGTTTTTAATTACCTCTTCTGGCCAGCTGTGGTGGCTCACACCTGTAATCCCAGCACTTTGGGAGGCCAAGGTGGGCGGATCACCAGAGGTCAGGAGTTTGAGACCAGCCTGGCCAACATGGCCAAACACCATCTCTACTAAAAATACAAAAATTAGCAGAGTGTGGTGGTGGGTGCCTGAATCCCAGCTATTTGGGAGGCTAAAGTAGGAGTATCACCTAAACCCAGGAGGCAGAAGTTGCAATGAGCCAAGATCATGCCACTGCACTCTAGCCTAGGCAATAGAGGAAGAGTCTGTCTCAAAAAAGAAAAAGAAAAATTACCTTTTCATTGTATGCTAACGTGTAGAATTCTGCATGTAACATGTCCAGTTTAAAGAATGATTATAAAGCAAATCCCTGTGTAACCAGTGCTCAAACAATGAAATAGAATGTAATGGCTCCCCAGAATCCCTCTGGGTGGTCCCTCCTGCCACACCCGCTTCCCTCCCTGCAGAGGTGGGACAGTCCTCCTTTCTGCCTTCCTTGCTGTGTGTGGTTTTGCCTCCTACACATGCATCCCTAAATAATGCAGGTTCATTTTTTCTGTTTTCGAACTTTGTGTTCATGTCTTCTCCTACATATTCTTTTGCGACGTTTTTCTTTTATGACTTGCTCATTTCATTTATTATTGAGATTCATTTATTCTCCACTCTGAAATTCTGGTTCATTATAGGCTTAATGTAAGATGTTCAGGCCATATTGTTTATTAGAAAGGCATCAAAATGTCCTACTCACTTTCACTTTTGCTTTTCACCTATTTTATTATAATTTCTATTAACCCTTTCTCAGACCCATGTAGCTGTCCTCATCCTCCCTACCAACACCCCGTCCAGACATCATCTCTCATTTGCACAAATATAGCAGGCTGTCATCTGGTCTCATGGCCTCATCAGCTTTGCTGCCTCTCATTGGTTCTTTATACTGCATCTGAAATGATTTTTGAAATGTAAATATTCTTAGCTCTTCCTTACATAAAAGAATTAAAAATATCATTGTCTTAGAGATTGCTATATAACTAACAAGTTCAAACTCTTAGGATTTTACTACAATGAGTCTTATTTTCTGTACTTCTATGTCTTTGAGTTGTTTAGAGTAACTCTACTTCATAAACTTGGTTCTGGGCTTTTGGGGAGGTCAGGTCTGTTCCACATGTCCCCACGTTTTTCTTGGACCAGTGGCTACCTCACAGGAGCTCGAGAGGCCAAGCCAAACTGTTGGAGCAGCACATCTATTGATATATCATTGGCTATAGAAAGTCCTGTGGTCAAGCCCAACATCAGTTGGTAGGGAAGTGTTTACTCTCTGCCCACTCTAGTACACTGCAGGGTCGCAAGGCCGAGGGAGAGAATGAAGAATTGAGAACAGTAATCCACCACAACTCTTGTCAATAGTAGTACTTTCTGTCATTATTTAGATTGCTAATTTCTTTCTTTGTTCCTTTTGTTGTTTTGACTATGAATTCCCATTAAAATATTGTATTAAACCCAAAAGAGGGATATATGTAAAAGAATATAAAAAGCTGAATTTGATGGCTTGATTTACAACTCTTGAGTTCTGTGACTTGGAGCAAATCAATTTAATGTTACTGTCTCATTTTCCATATCCAATGGATATATTTTTATATCTCTCTTTTGAGAATTCCAAGAATATGCAGAGAATAACATATTAGTCAAAAACCAGGATATTGAAATGTTCCTAGGTCTCCTTTACTCATTACCAAGGTGTCAATGTAGCTTGACTTTGCCTTTGTACCTATACTGGTCATCAAGAAGATGTCCCCTATCTCTCAGCTGGAAAGTGTTATCAGTGTTGTTGACCAGGAAGAGATTTAACCAAGAGATTGTATCAATAATCTTTCTTCCCCCCCACTCTGTTATAGGCCATAATGATTATATTTGTCCAGCTACAAATCAGTGTACAATCGATAAAAACCGGCGCAAGAGCTGCCAGGCCTGCCGACTTCGGAAGTGTTATGAAGTGGGAATGGTGAAGTGTGGTGAGTGCTTGCTTCCCTTCTTATTGTATATAGGCCTTGCTAAAAGCCCTGTCCTCTGAGGAACTGGGGACAGTAGCTGGGAAGAGAGAAGATTTAGGACATAGTAATTAAGTATTTGTGTTGTCACATTGGAGGAGGCATTGACTTATCCACAGTAACTGCAGAGGACAGAGCTGGGGTGAGTGGGAACAAATTATGGGAGGCAGATTTTGGCCCCAAGTAGAGAAGAACTTTCTACAGTTCAAGTGGTCTGACCACAGAATAAATAGGCCACCAGATGGTTTAGGGGACTTCTAGCCACTGGAATCCTCAAACAGGGCTGGGTGGCCATCTGTCTGTGATCTTGAAAAGTCCAGTTCTAAGGATGAAACCCTGGTAAATGTCCACGGTTAAAGCTTGTGACAAAAAAGTAGAATATCTTGTGGGTTACTGGGGTAGCCGTGGGGAGACTCATACCTATCCCCTCGTCTAGCTTTCTAGAAGTGGAAAAATATGCAGGAGTCAGAAACATAATGGAACTATGAAAAGCACATACAGCATAGATTTTGTTCTATGACAGTAATAGATGTATACATATGTATATGTAATATATTCACATATATTCATATGTATTTTGTACACTCACATATATTCACATATATTTTATACACAAAGAAAAGTGAGCACTTTAGTATATAACTGACAAAGATGCCAACACCCAGCTCTCTCCACCTGGCTAGCTTTTGGTTCACTTGTCTGTACTCACTTGCTTGTTTATATGTACTCCAAGCAGCTCTGCCTGCACTTATTCTTCTGCTAGCCAGTATTTTACCTGTGGTTGGCTGTAATTTCTCATTGTAATTATTTGAATTTAAAGCAAAAATCTATCACTTTACTTCCTGACAATTTCTTTTTCTTTTCTTTCTTTCTTTTTTTTTTTTTTTTTTTGAGACGGAGTCTCGCTCTGTCGCCCAGGCTGGAGTGCAGTGGCATGATCTCGGCTCACTACAAGCTCCGCCTCCCGGGTTCATGCCATTCTCCTGCCTCAGCCTCCTGAGTACCTGGGACTACAGGTGCCTTCCACCATGCCCGGCTAATTTTTTGTATTTTTAGTAGAGACAGGTTTTACCGTGTTAGCCAGGACGGTCTCGATCTCCTGATCTCGTGATCTGCCTACCTCAGCCTCCCAGAGTGCTGGGATTACAGGCGTGAGCCACTATGCCCCGCCCTCCCTGACAATTTCTTAGTAGCTCTGCCTCGTGAGCATTCTCTGCCCTTTTCTTTTTCTCTGTGTATGTAACAGATTAGAACGCTCAGCTATTATAGTTCAGTTACAGCAGAAGTTCTCTTCATCTGATCACACTTCTCTGGCTTCCTAGAGTCACCGATGATCTTCATTTCCTCTGTAGAACACCCTGCCTGTGCCCATAGCCTCACAGTGTGTGTTGGTTACTCTCTCGAACACCTAAACATTTCCATTCCCACCGCTTCACTTTGTCCTTATCAGAAACCAGTGAGCTTCTTCTCAAACCTGTTTCTACTCACTGTAATTGTTACATTATAAAATTTAATTAAAATTTGTGCAAACATGAATAGGAAAAGACAAGTTTGTTTTTTCTGTGAAAGTTTAGTTGAGGCTGGGTGCGGTGGCTCACGCCTGTAATCTCAGCACTTTGGGAGGCCGAGGCCTGCGTATCATGAGGTCAAGAGATTGAGACCATCCTGGCCAACATGGTGAAACCATGTCTCTACTAAAAATACAAAAATTAGCTGGGCATGGTGGCATGCACCTGTAGTCCGAGCTACTTGGAAGGCTGAGGCAGGAGACTAGCTTGAACCTGGGAGGCAGAGGTTGCAGTGAACCGAGATCATGCCACTGCACTCCAGCCTGGCAACAGAGTGAGACTCCATCAGGCGGGGGTTGATGTTTAGTTGAAAGTTTTGAATAAAATCTTAAAGGACTAATAGCTATTGAGATAGATATGGGTGAGACTGGGGGAAAAAACAAAACAAAACATAAACCTTGGGAGATCCTGAATTCAGAATTCCTTAGAAGTATCTAGGTTCTTGCTCTGTTTTTGTTTTAAAGAAGCTGAAACTGAAAATCCAGAGATAATATCTCATGGGTTTGTTTATGCAGAAAAGTGACTTTGTCTAATTGGCCCAGATGCATAAAGAGAAAACCTTGGCACTCTGACAAAAGATTGCAAATAAATGTTTTAAGTTTTAAGTTAAACAGTATTTTAAGGTGTGTGTGTGTGTGTTTAAAAAGTGATTTCCAACTTAGTCTTAAGAATGCTTTTATTATACTAGGATCCATTGCACAGCTGTAGCCCTCATGGCTCAAGGCAGTGGATGCTGGGAAGAGCATGAAGGTTGGATCCCATAGTCTATGTTTCATTTTTGTTTCATCACTTCTTGCTGACTGTGACTTTGCTCAAACTACTGAATCACCTCTTTAGTCCTCGGTTTTCGTATCTCTGAACAGAGATATCTGCTTCACTGTGTTTTGTAAAGAATAAGTATGAAAACATATATAAAGACTTAGCACAGTACCTGACGCTCAATTTTAGTTTTCCTTCCGTTCTCTCTCCTTCCCTGAAAAGCTCATATGAGTTTTGATACAACACCGTTTCATGAGATAGAGGACAGAGGAATAAAGAAGATTTCATAGAAAAGGGAATGAGAGAAAGTTTGTTGAATTTAGCCAGAAAGTCTAAGAAAAGACTGTATTCTCTTTGGAGATTACAGAAGAAATGAGATGGGTTGTTGCACATATACAATGGGATATTTTGCCCTTCACTGACCACAGAGAAAGACCATTAGCGGTGAACTTTCTTAACTCTGTCTGTGTCCTTTCCCATCACTCTTCTTATCTGCCCTCCCAAAAACCCCCTCTGCACACTTTTTCTTCCATCAGGTCTCGGAGGATTAGAGATTATACTTGCGTACTGGATCCTCCTGCACCATCCCGCTTCTTTTATTCTGAAACCATGTAGTCTGTTATCACCTTTTTCTTCTGAATTTCTGATCTTGTCTTTTCTACTAAAGTGTGGATGTGGTCATACAGCAGTAGGACAACAGCCACCTAGACTAACTTTATGGATGAAACTTCATTATAAGGATACACTGAAATGTAAGGAGCCAGGAAATCCATCTGAATAGCCATGTATTTGGCCTATATCCCTGTATTGGGATAATAGCTCAACATATTTTGGGTGCCATATCTTTATACACCTGCTGTATAGTCTTCCATGAAAGGGATTTGATAGGTAGGTAGTATAAAATAGTGGTTAAAAGCACCAGCTCTGGATTTAGGTTGCTGCTTGGGTTTAGATCCTGCTTCTGCTATTTTCTAGCTATGCCATCTTAGACAAGTTACTTGAGCTTACATTTGGTTCCTCCTCTGTACATTGGAGACAGTAATAGCTCCTGTACTGTAGGGTAGCTGTCAGGATATGTGCAATATGCAATGCCTGGTGTATAGAAGCTTCCAGTAGACATTAACTGCCGTTAGTATTGTTGATCACTACTGTCATCATCATCTTTGGCTGGGGTTATTTACCACTGCCTAATATGGAGCACTCCTATTTGGTGGAGCTGCTCATTAAGCTCACTCAGAGGCAGCTGCCTAGGTTACAGTGTCAAAGCCACAACACTAGAAACATCCTTGATAGAAAAATGAGTTCCTTGTCAAGGGCTTTATTTATTGAGTCTAGAATTCTCAGAACTCACTATAGAACCTAGAATGTTAGACTTTGTCAGTGAAAATTTGTCAAGTAAATTTGAATGTATAAATTCAAAATCTCTCACTTTGGGTATGTAAAGGGTATATAAATCTGTTTTGTAATTCTTTATCCTTATGTACTCTACAAAAGAGAAATGTACGATCAGAAAGGTACTTTTATTTTTTATTTTTTTATTTTTTTGAGACAGGGTATCACTCTGCTGCAACCCAGGCTGGAGTGCAGTGGCGCAATCTTGGCTTACTGCAACCCTGACCTCCTAGGGCTCAATTGATTCTCTTACCTCAGCCTCCTGAGTGGCTGGGACTACAGGTGTGTGCACCACCACACCTGGCTAATTTTTGTATTTTTTGTATAGACAGGATTTCACTGTGTTGCCCAGGCTAGTCTTGAACTCCTGGGCTCAAGTGATCCTCTTGCCTCAGCCTCCCAAAGTGCTGGGGGATTACAGGCATGAGCCACCTTGCCTGGCAGAAAGGTGCTTTTTAAAACCATACATTTTGCAGCAAACCACCATGGCACGTGCATACCTATGTAACAAACCTATATGTTCTGCACATCTATCCCAGAACCTAAAGTATATTTTTAAAAATTAAGAAAAATGTACATTTTGCTCCATTTTATCCTGGGTTTATAATTGACCTTAAATATCCATAGCATTCTACTTGATTACTAATAAAATGAATTGTATTTTAGGCCTTTAATTCTTTTAGCAGTAAATTTGGTTCAAATGTTCTGAATAAATAGAGCCCTTTCTTCTACTGTAACTAGTCAATGTTAAGAGGAAATTCTGACAAATTTTCCCGGTAGCCAATAATTTAAATTTGCTCATATTTTCTAACTAATATTTATTTTAAAAATGTAAACAATTTAATTTAGTGAATAAACATAATGATGGGAGTATAAAACTAAGCATTTTGCAGATTTCAACTTTTAGGGTTTTTTTTTTTTTTAAGGGAAATTCATATAAAAGTTGTAACCATGCTAATGACATCCTTACTTATAATGTGTCTTTCCTTTAATTTCCATTTTACATTTTTGTCTTTAACCAGTGAAAACTTATAAAGATTTTGGTGCTCAAATATATAGGGATTTGGAAGTTATATTTTTGTTGTTGATTTCCATTTTTCTTATGGTCAGAGAAAATTGTCTTATGCCTATTTTACTTAAGATTTTCTTCATTGCCTAGTATGTGATAATTTTTGCAAAATATCTATGGCCTTTGTAGATCAAGCTTGTTAATTATGTGGTTCAAATATTCTGCATTCTGACTCTTCGCTCTTTCAGCTGTTGAGAGAGAGGTTTAAATATCCCATTATAATAGTGCATCTGTCAGTTTCTCTTTTCCTTTCAATCACTTTTGTGTTGTGTTTGGACGCTGTGTTTTGTTGTTTGTTTATTCATTTATTTTTTCAACGGAGTCTTGCTCTGTCACCTAGGCTGGAGTGCATGGCATGATCTCGGTTTACTGCAACCTGTGCCTTCTGGGTTTGTGCGATTCTCCTGCCTCAGCCTCCTGAGTAGCTGGGACTACAGGAATGCGCCACCATGCCTGAGTAACTTTTGTATTTGTAATAGAGACAGGGTTTCTCCATGTTGGCCAGGCTGGTCTCGAACTCCTGACCTCAGGTGATCCGTCGACCTTGGCCACCCAAATTGTTGAGATTACAGGCGTGAGCCACCGCACCTGGCCTTGGTTGTTTTGAAGTATATGAGTTTAGAATTATTTATCTTTTTAAAATATTCTAGCAACGAGTCTCCTTATCTATAATAATAATTTTTGCCTTAAAGTTTATTTGTCTGGTATCAGTAGAGTAACGTCAATTTATTTGGTTAATTTTGCCTGTTATATATTTTTCTATCTGTCTACTTCGTTTTCCTATATGTTAGTTGTATCTCTTACAACTAATCTATGTCTAGATTTAAAAATATGTATGATTTCAGGTCACTCTTAAATGGTCAATTTGGTATTTTTTGTTTATTGTGATAACTGATATTTGGGTTCATTTCTATCACCTTATTTTGTGATTTAAAAAATTTTATTATGTATTTTCTACTTCTTCCGTTTTGGGAGTTGATCACATTTTTATGTTTCTTTTTCTTCTTTTACTAGTTTAAAAGTCATTGCATTCTGTTTGAATTCCCTTTTGTCTTTTGAGACAGAGTCTCGCTGTGTCACGCGGGCTGGAGTGCAGTGGCGTGATCTTGGCTCACTGCACCCTCCGCCTCCCAGATTCAAGTGATTCTCCCACCTCAGCCTTCTAAATAGCTGGGATTACAGGTGTCTCCCACCATGCCCAGCTAGTTTTTGTATTATTAGTAGAGATTGGGTTTCACTCTGTTGCCCAGGCTGGTCTTGAACTCCTGACCTCAAGTGATCTGCCTTCCCCCACCACCTTTGGCCTCCTAAAGTGCTGGGATTACAAGTGTGAGCCACCATGCTTGGCCGTGTTTCAATTCCTTTAATGATATTTCTGCTTTTTAACATGTGTTCTTGATTAATTTGAGAATTTAAGCTTCTGTCTTCCCAAAAAAGAATCTTAGAAATTCTAACCAAAATAATTCCTCTCTCATTTTACATGTTATTGTTTGGTATTTTGGTTCCACCTTATTTCTATATCACCAAAACTTACTTATTGGGCTGGGTGTGGTGGCTTATCCCAGCACTTTGGGAGGCCAAGGCAAGTGGATCACTTGAGCCCAGGAGTTCGAGACCAACTTGGGCAACATGGCAAGACCCTGTCTCTACAAAAAATACAAAAATTAGTCAAGTGTGTTGGTGCACACTTGTAGTCCCAGCTACCCAGGAGGCTGAGGTGGGAGGATCACTTGAGCCTGGAAGGTTGAGGCTGCAGTGAGCTGTGATCATGACCATACCACCATACTTCAGCCTGGATGACAGAGACCCTGTCTCTTAAAAAAAAAAAAAAAAAAAAAAAAAAAGGTAAATCCAAAGAACAAGCATATAAATCAACTTTGCTAGTAATTAAAACATACAAAGTAAAGCAAGATGGTTTAGTCACTTGTTAGATTAGCAAACATTAAAAATGATTTTTAATGCCCAATGCGTTCTGAGAAAATAGATAGTCAAACTATTGAGCACTGGGTAACATAATAAGACCCTATCTCTACAAAAAAATTTAAAAATTTGCCAGACATGGTGGCATGTTCCTGTAGTCCTAGCTACTTCTGAGGCTGAGGCAGGAGGATTGCTTGAGTCCAGGAGAGGAAGGCTGCAGTGAGCTGTGATTGCATCACTACACTCCAGCTTGGGCAACAGAGCAAGACTCTGTCTCAAAAATACGATTAAAATAAAATAGTGTATATACTGCAATCTAATTTTGTGTATAAAGGCTGGGCATGGTGGCTCACACCTGTAATCCTAGCACTTTGGGAGGCTGAGATGGGCAGATCACCTGAGGTCAGGAATTTGAGACGAGCCTGGCCAAACATGGTGAAATCACATCTCTACTAAAAATATAAAAATTAGCCGGGCATGGTGGTGGGCACCTGTAATCCTAGCTACTCAGGAGGCTGAGGCAGGAGAATTGCTTGAACCTGGGAGGCTGAGGTTGCAGTGAGCCGAGATCGTGCCACTGAACTGCAGCCTGGGTGACAGAGTGAGACTCTGTCTCAAAAACAAACAACAACAAAAAAATTTTTGTATATAAAACATGGAAAAATATAAAAGCATTAAAAAGACTGAAAGAATTGGCCGGGCGCGGTGGCTCACGCCTGTAATCCCAGCACTTTGGGAGGCCGAGGCGGGTGGATCACGAGGTCGGGAGATTGAGACCAACCTGGCTAACACCGTGAAACCCCGTCTCTACTAAAAATACAAAAAATTAGCCGGGCGAGGTGGCGGGCGCCTGTAGTCCCAGCTACTCGGAGGCTGAGGCAGGAGAATGGCGTGAACCCGGGAGGTGGAGCTTGCAGTGAGCCGAGATCGCGCCACTGCACTCCAGCCTGGGCGACAAAGCGAGACTCCGTCTCAAAAAAAAAAAAAAAAAAAACTGAAAGAATTTATGCCAAAATTTATTCTTTTCCATATTTTCCAGATTTTTTTCACTTAATTTGCTATTTGAAATATACTTGTGTAAGTATGAATAAAGAAATATATACATATGCACACATGCATATAAACATTTTAAGAATGTGTTAAAAGTATATTATTTGATACCTTTGGAAATATCCCCATTTTTATACCTGAAGAAAATTCCTAATTTCATGGTTTGGAAACAGGTTTATGAGCACTCTTTATAGAGAAATGGTGTTAGTATCTATAGATGACCTGGAAATGGAGACCTAAAAAGTTTCTGAAAAGTTATATCGTTGGTTTTCCTGGTACAGTCACGACCATAGTAATCTTTGGTACATGCCCCACAGGCTCCAGAAAATAAAAGTCAAGCTTCTTTTACTTGACTGCGGTTTTATCCCAACAATTTGAATGACCCTGCTTTCCTCTTCAGGCTCCCGGAGAGAGAGATGTGGGTACCGCCTTGTGCGGAGACAGAGAAGTGCCGACGAGCAACTGCACTGCGCCAGCAAGGCCAAGAGGAGTGGCAGCCACGCACCCCTAGTGCGGGAGCTGCTGCTGGACGCCCTGAGCCCGGAGCAGCTGGTGCTCACCCTCCTGGAGGCTGAGCCACCCCATGTACTGATCAGCCGCCCCAGCGCGCCCTTCACCGAGGCCTCCATGATGATGTCCCTGACCAAGCTGGCCGACAAGGAGTTGGTACACATGATCAGCTGGGCCAAGAAGATTCCCGGTAGGGCTTTCAGGCTATTAGTTTTCCGTGTACTTGTAGAAAGGCCTGCTGCTAATATTTAAAGGACAAGAGTATAAAGTAGAGGTCTGTGAGCTGTGCCTAGATATTTAAGTTTCTCAGCTGGATTCGTAACTTTTGAGTGCAATATGTTCCTTCCTCCCGTCTTGGCATAGCTACCTTCAACAAGGCCACATTCTGATTTAGAATTCTGAGACTCCTCTGAGTTCTGTACCCAACATGGTAGTGAAGAAAGAGTTGTGCGTGGCCCAGCCATTTCTATTCTTGACTCTCTTCTTTTCCTGTGGCTAGATGCTTCCCATACTACCTGGCACAAACCCTATCCTGTGTGTCCACATCTGCTACAGACACTTACCTGTTGGCCCCCTCTCATGCCTAGAGGTGGTCTGGGAGAATGGACCCAGGGAACCCACCCAGACTCTGGAACTGGGCTTGGGGTCATTTGGGCAAGAAATCCTAGAGTCCTGGAACCTGGAACATGGTTAAAAGATAGACTCTACATTGCCCCATTTCTTGGCTCTGGATTCCTCACCTTGAGAGGAGGGGCATGGTTGGGTAGGGTGGGGTAGAGTACGGTATGACTAGTTTGAAAGTGAAAGGTTTGTCAGATGCTAAATAGAATTTTGTAAATTATTGTTCCAATAGAGAATCAATATTATATACATAAATGAATATGTATGGACAAATAGAGTAAATCGGTGGTTGAAGTTACATGAATCATCAATGGGCCCATAAACTTGGAATGCCATCAAATTAAAAATGAGCTTAGTTACTCATGAGTTATCATTTGGAACCTGCATTTTCCATCCTCTAAAGTGATCACTTCTCCCAAGCCCATTTGTAATATAGACCTGAAGTGTTATATGATGCTGAAATTACCAGCTAATTATCATTTGACTTGGTGTTTCTGTGGAAGAGTGAATCTAGGATTCTAACTTAGAATGGCAATACCCCACAATCCCCCTGTGAAAGGTTCTCCATGCCCTTCTTTACAGTCCTTGAAGAAATGAAGCCTCTTACAAGTTCTGAGCCACTGGGGGCGTTCCCATGGCCTGGGGGCAACGACTGCACTGGGCAAGCTGTAAAGATGAGGAGGGGCGAGAAGCTGGGGGAAGAGAAGTTTCGGGTAAAGAGCCCAGGGAACTGAGGCCTATGGTGAGAGTATCATTTGGGGACTTTTGTTGAACTGGGCCCATTTCTTCTGAGCTTCCTGAGGATTTTTGGTTTCGAGTTGTATTTTGTTTTGTCTAGCATCTTCACCTTTGCCAGAATTATTTTTTTCTCTGCTTTTTCCCAGAGGAGGCAATCCTGATGCACTTTCCTTTAGTTTTTGCTTTAAGTGTATTCCAAACATGATTTTGCAGGACCACACACAGAGAGCAGTGATGAAATTAATTATTGCTGAAAGCTGTGCCCCTTCTTTGTGCCATAAGAAATCTGAACTCTTAAACTGCGTTATTCCTTATTCAAGCCTGGTGTTTTGAAAAGTTTTCAGGAAACGTAGGCATAGTCTGGAGGTGTGATTTTTTTCCCCCTCTCTTAGCTGGCATGGTCATTGTCCAAACCAAAATTAAAAAAAAAAAATTAAAATATCATCTAGCCTTGATCTTGTTGAATATCTACAAGGTTAAAAGCTGTGATCTCTTGGGTAGGCTTATTGTCTATTACTATGGGTGAAATTGGGAAGGTGTATACATATTAGGAACCTAAACTGAGCAAAGCATGTGGATTTAGAAAGTATTTATCCATCTTTACACTCATAACACCATTACATTCTCCTTGAGACAGATTTACATTATATTGTTCAAAGACTTGAACACATATGTTCTCTCTGCCATAGTTTCCTCATCTGTAAAACAAGAATAAGAGATCTTGCCTATAGGACATTCTCAGAGATAGGCATTGTTACCTCCATTTTCCTATAAGAAAAACAAAGATTTAATGGGAGATTAAGTGACCAGCTAGAAAGAGGCTGAGCTGGAGTTCAAACCAGAGTCCATTTCACTCCAAGGCTGTGTCTTTTGTTACCGTATTTATATTACACAGCAGTCTCCTTTTATCATGGCTTGTGAAGGAAGCCCCGGTGTTCTCTGCTTTGCTTTTGAAGTGCTTCCTTCCCCAGAGATTACCTGTTTCCAAACAGTACTGTGACCAACATGAGTTATTAGGTTGTCAGAACCTGCTTTGTTATTATATTTGCTCTTTATTTTATTTATTTATTTATTTAGACAGGATCTTGCTCTGTTGCCCAGGCTGGAGTGCAGTGACATAATCTCAGCTCACTGCAGCCTCGACCTCCCAGGCTCAAGCAATCCTCCCACTTCAGCCTCCAGAGTATCTGGGACTACAGGCACCTGCCACCATGACCAGATAATTTTTTGTAGAGATGGGGTTTCTCCATGTTGGCGAGGCTGGTTTCAAACTCCTGGGTGCAGGCAATCCACCCGCCTTGGCCAACCAAAGTGCTGGGATTACAGGTGTGCGCCACTGTGCTTGGCGATATTTACTGCTTAGGATAGAATTGCCCAGAAACAGTGCTTCTACCCGGAAGGATCTTAACACTGGATAGGAAATTTTAAGCAATCAGAGAAATCCTTGAAGTTGAGGCCTTGGCTTTCTGCGGGGGCTGACACTGCTGTCTGCAAGCCTCCAACCCCAACCTCCACCTACCCCATTCCCCCACCCCTTCTGATCCCAGTCAAAGATTGGGTCAGACAGGCAGCTCCTCTGACTGGCAACCAAGCATCAACCTTCTCAGTAGTGCAGAGGAATTATCAGGACACAGCTAACCAAGATCAGTTCTGAGCCCAGGTCATCATGCTTGACAAACTCTAAATGAAGTATATTTGTCTCTAGAAGGGGTCCAAGACTGGAAACAGTCACGCAGCTTAACTTCAAAGTTTTCTTCCTTTAATGAGTAGTCAATCATATCTATAAAATATCGATTCCCTAATGGTTTGTGTTTTCTTAGTGTTTTAACACTTGCCATTCTGTCTCAACAGACACAGGGAGCTGAGGAGGAGGGTGCGGGTGTCTCACCGCCTCTTGCTTTCCCCAGGCTTTGTGGAGCTCAGCCTGTTCGACCAAGTGCGGCTCTTGGAGAGCTGTTGGATGGAGGTGTTAATGGTGGGGCTGATGTGGCGCTCAATTGACCACCCCGGCAAGCTCATCTTTGCTCCAGATCTTGTTCTGGACAGGTGAGAAAAAATGCATTGTGTTTCTTCTCCCACTTGTTTGAGTAAGGTGCTTAGTGGGAACAAAGTCCTGGGTGCTGCAATTAAAATCTCACACTTGCAGGGTAATTAGAGGATAATAGTATCATCAGCTCCTTCACTGGGTCAAGAACCAGAGAAGGAGAGAGTTGGGTCCAGGGATTCAGGGTCCTGTGACTCATTTTTAATCTGTGGTGCAGCAGCATTTACAGGCCAGTGCTTTAATAGGGGAATGTATCCTGTAGGTATGTGGCCACTACATGTATAAGTCGACAGACTTTTCTGCATTAAAAATTCCATTTTCAGGTTATAATCTTAAGTTGTCCTGCTGTTTTTTGTACCTATAGTGACCAATTACGTCTGGAGTTTTCTGGACAGGTGATAAAATTCTTACAAATCTGCCAAGTTTATTTTCTTATGCTTTAACTCATTCTTTTTTTTTTTTTTTTTTCCTGAGACGGAGTCTCACTATCACTCAGGCTGGAGTGCAGAGGCGCAATCTTGGCTCACTGCAACCTCCGCTTCCTGGATTCAAGTGATTCTCCTGCCTCATCCCCTCGAGTAGTTGGGATCACAGGTGCCCACCACCACGCCAGGCTAATTTTTCTATTTTTAGTAGAGAAGTGGTTTCACCATGTTGGCCAGGCTGATCTTGAACTCCTGACCTCAGGTGATCCACCCACCTCGGCCTCCCAAAGCTCTGGGATTACAGCCCCCACTGTGCCCAGTCTGCTTTAACTCATTCTAATGCATGTACTATATAGCATTTTTGGCAATAGTGGTGGAAGGAAGGGTTACTAAAACCACATGAAACTTAACAGAAAATGGGACATGATGCTATCTATATCTTGGTTGCATTTGATTTTCTTTTAAAGATGACAGAAAAGGAACCAGTTTTTAATTGACTTAGGTGAACTGTTTATGGAGGGAAAGCTGGACTATATAAAAATACTCAAGCTTTTTAGCAGGAAAGTAGAATACCCTCTTGGTATAAATTTGAGCAGTTTGAAATCTGCATGGAAATTGATTTCCACGCCCCTTTTGTGGAAAAAATGCTAGTGTTGAATGTTCAGCCACATCTGACTCTGCACAGTGTGGGAGGATGCCTAGTGTCTACCCCAACTCTTGCATTATAATCCTGTTACCACTTTAAGATCATCCGAAGACCCTGTGTTACACAGATGAAGAGTGATGCCCCAAGGTATCAGTCCCCATTCTGCCTTTTGTCGTGGTTGACAATGTTATTAAAAGAGCACTGTTCTGCATAATGAAGGTGTTTTGATAGAGAACAGATCCTTTGGGAAGAGCTGGAGGATGGATTGACTTGAATGAGAGCCCAGGTGGTAAACCATGGAGGGAGGCTCTGGAAGACCAGAGAAGTGCAGGGCACAAGACTCTTCAGTAACAAACAAAATAGCTAACCTATTGGCTTGTATGTGCTTGGCAGCACCTTATACACTTAACTTATGTCAACACATTTAATCTTCACAATCTTCCTGCACCCTTTAAGGGAGTAGGACCCATTATTATCTCTATCATTCAGATATTTGGAAATGGGAGATTAAGAAACCTGCTGACAGGTAGGATAGTAGGTGGTAGAGCTGGACTTAAGGGGTTGCCAAACAGCAAACTGTCTACTTTATTCTGCCTGTTGTCCTGGGTGACAGTGTAGACAAAGAGCACATTCTTCAGTACAGAGATGTTTTGGTAGAGAACAGCCCTGTTCTACTCATAACACACTGCAGAAACCCACTGTCCCCACTGTCATCTCGGGGTACCATGTTGCAAGGCAGGCTGAAAAGCCAAGCACCTAGCCAAGCCATTGTATTCTGCTTGGTGTTTTAACTGAGGCCAAATATACATATGTATAAATACACACATATAATCCTCCTAGAGGTTAGTCCTAAGGAGACGTTCCATCCCTTGACAAATCAAATAATTTGCAGACTTTGGGATTAAATTATTTTATCTCTTGTCTTGATTTCTAAATTGATGCCAAATTTAGTGTTTATTTTTGGTGACTGATTCATTCCTGGTTTTTAGGACAATTAACTCTCCACTCTCCCGTTTCTCTGTATGGGTTCTTTAATTCCTGTAATTGTGTGTATACATTACTATAAGTGAACACAAATCCTGGAAAAATATTAGTTAATAGAAGAAAAGTTTTTTTTTAAACAAATAATTTATAATAGACTCACACTGCCTTTATAACTTATGTGAAAGTATTATGTTTTCCAACATAAATCTAGTATGTTTGAGTATAGAAGAGGAATTCTTGGGAATTGTAAATGTATTCACATTGAGCAGATTTTTTTTGTTTTTTTTGAATGATTACTGGTGTTTATTTTTTGTTGCAATTTCTAGTAGTTTTTGTTTGTTTGTTTTTTGTTTTTGAGATGGAGTCTCACTCTGTCACCCAGGCTGGAATGCGATGGCGCAATCTCAGCTCACTGCAACCTCCGCCTCCCAGGCTCAAGCGATTCTTGTGCCTCAGCTTCCCGAGTAGCTGGGATTATAGGCATGTGCCACTACACCTGGCCAATTTTTGTATTATTATTATTATTTTTTAGTAGAGACAGGGTTTTACCATGTTGGCCAGGCTGGTCTTGAGGTCCTGACTTCAAGTGATCCCCCAACCTCAGCCTCCCAAAGTGTTGGGATTACAGGCGTGAGCCACTGCTCCCAGCCTACAATCTCTAGCATTTTTAACCCATTAACTTTGTGAAGTCAGGAACTTGAAGTCTAAGATAGTTCAGTTACGTAGTCATCTCTTATACAGATGGATATACTTTTATGTAATAGGTGTATTTGTAGAGGAGTTGCTCATTCAACAAGTCAGGAGTCATGCTCCATAAAGGAGTTCTATTACAACTCTTTTTTGCAAAGTGAAGACATAATCTTCACACCATTTGAAAATAACTGTCTTCTGCTGGATTGTCCTACCAGAGTTTCTTCAGGTGGTAATATGGCTGTATAAACAGTGAATACAACTAACAGCCCATTTGTGGATACTGAAACTATAATTTCTGTTTCCCTTTATTCTTGTTGAGGTTTGTACAACAAGAAAACTTGTATCTACTGAGGATGAGAGGAAAATCTAGTTACTTCAGCTTATTTCTAAGCATTTAGTTCTTCTTTTACCTACCACTGAATTCATCATAAATTCATGTGAAGATCCTCTACGGAAACTGATTGTCTCCTTGCTCAAAAAAAATCACATATGCAAAGGCATTTTTGTGTCCTTAGTATCAACAGGCAACTGACTAATGTTAAATTATTAGTCAGAGGAAGTTTGTATCTGGGCTTGGATCCCATTGTGGACATTTGCAGAGAGGTTCATGGAATTATATATGTCTAAATGTCTTGAGTTTACATTCACATTAGTTATTTGTATGCTAAATTCCTTCAAGGTAGCCACCGAATTTTCAATTCCGAATTTTAATTTACCCTTTGTACATAAGTAATTTCACTTCAGTTATTAAGTCCTTTTTATGTTCTAAGCCTTAAGCCCTCCCTGCCATTGCCATATACATAGAAGTAAACCACGGTCTGTACCCAGGTGTGTGCTGCCAGCAGATATATATATATATATATAGGTACAAAATAGTGTACCCCAAAGGGAGGCCCACTCATTCAACATTTTGTTGTTGTATTAAACAATACTCTTCTTTAGGCCAGGCACGGTGGCTTACACCTGTAATTCCAGCACTTTGGGAGACCGAGATGGGTAGATCACCTTAGGTCGGGAGTTCGAGACAAGCCTGAGCAACATGATGAAACCCTGTCTCTACTAAAAATACAAAAGTTAGCTGGGTGTGGTAGCAGGCGCCTGTAATCCCAGCTACTTGGGAAGCTGAGGCAGGAGAATTGCTTGAACCCAGGAAGTGGAGGTTGCAGTGAGCAGAGATCACTTCATTGCACTCCACCTGGGGTGACAGAGCAAGACTCCATCTCAAAAAAAATAAAAACAATATTCTTATTTTATAAAGAGTGATTATTGGCCAGGCTCGGTAGCTCACGCCTTGTAGTCCCAGCACCTTGGGAGGCTGAGGCGAGTGGACCACTTGAGGTCAGGAGTTCAAGACCAGCCTGGCCAACACGGTGAAACCCCTTCTCTACTAAAAATGCAAAAATTAGCCAGGCATAGTGGTGTGTGCCTATAATCCCAGCTACATGGGAGGCTGAGGCAGGAGAATCACTTGAACCCAGGAGGCGGAGGTTGCAGTGATCAGAGATCATGCCGCTGCACTCCAGTCTGGGCATTGGAGTGAGACCCTGTCTCCAAAAAAAAAAAAAAAGTTATTATCAAGTAATAAAATTGATATGGTTTGGCTCTGTGTCCCCAGCAAATCTCATCTGAAATTGTCAAGGGAGGGACCTGGTGGGAGTGATCGAGACGGTTTCCCGCATGCTGTTCTCATGATAGTGAGTGAGTTCTCATGGGAGCTGATGCTTTAAAAGTGTTTGGCAGCTCCCCCGTCTCGTTCAATCGCTCGCTCTTCTGCCTCCGTGTAAGATGTGCCTTGGTCTCTGCCACGATGGTAAGTTTCCTGAGGCCTCCCTAGCCATGCAGAACTGTGAGTCAGTTAAAACTTTTTTCTTCATAGATTACCCAGTCTCAGGTAATGCTTTATAGCAATGCGAAAATGGACTAATACAAAGATATTCCATGTTATTACTGATTTTATTTAGTAGTTGATGGACAGATAGTGTGCAAAAATAAATTTCCTGAGTAGGTCAGTTTGATTGATACATTGTTTCAATATTTTAACGTTGAAATCGTATTCCTGTTTTTGTTTCTGTTTTTGTTAATTTAGAGACAGGGTCTCACTCTGTGGCCCAGGCTGGAATACAGCAGTGCCATCATAGCTCACTGCAACCTCGGGCTTCTGGCCTCAAGTGATCTTTTGCCTTAGCCCCCTGAGTAGCTGGGACTATAGGTATATGCTACCATGCCTGGTTTATTATTATTATTTTGTAGAGACAAGGTCTCGCTATGTTGCCCAGGCAGGTCTGGAACTCTTGGCCTCAAGTGATCCTCCCACTTTGACCTCCCCAAAGCACGGGGATTACAGACATGAGCAGCCAGCCTGTCTTTAATTCAACTCTTTTAACCCTGTCCTAATTTCTTACTCATAATTCAGTTTCAATCTAAAATTATAAAATAAATAAAATAGATGTCACTAATTTACTTTAGAGTCTTTCCTAACTTTGTTCTGTATAACTCATCTGAAAGAACTTTATTGGGCTGTCATTTATGATGTCTTATGCTTTATTGCCCCTTCATTTCTCATTTATTTTGTAGAAATGTGTTTGGTTTCTGCAGACTGTGAAGTGAATAAAAATATTCTAACTTTGCCACCCCTTGAATGAAATGGTTGACTGTCACACCTGCTTAAAAAGAAAGCAATCAGACCTAGTTCTTTAGACTTTGTTTAGAAATTAACTTTTTCCATGAGGTATATATGGTCTGATTACTGTGAGTGACAGCCTTTATCAGGGTTTAAAATACCTCAGTATGCAAACCCTCCCCCCATTTTTGAAACATAAATTTGTAGTGAAAATGGCATATATTTTAATGAGGAAATGATACCAATTTCAATATTTAAGAACTAAGGCACAGGCACTTCTGGAAAATAGGATTGATTTCAGGTTGGTCCCCTTACCATACCACTTGGGGAGGGGTATGTGTGAGTGTGTGTGTGTGTGTATGTATGTATGTGTTGTGCATGTGTGTATAATCTCACATCAGCACAGAAGAATAAAGAGATAAACTATCAATGCAGGAGTTTTTTTTCCCCCACAGAGATATTTTCAAACTGCTTTCCTTAGTATCAAATGTCCCCAAGTCCAACAGTTACAATTTCCCATAATGAATTGTCCGCAGGCAGGGTGATTCGGTGATGTGGCATGAAGGGATTCAGTGCCCAGGTGTTTTGTGTGTTATCTCTGTGCAAGGCTTGTGTTGTCCTTACTGGATGCCTGCATCAGGTTGCCTGGGAGAGCCTGGAGCTGGGGAGGTGGAAAGATGAGGCTTCCTGTAGATTTGGCACTCTTCGCCCAGTGCTCTGGATTCTCTAAGATGGCCTTTTCCTATGAGTGACTTCCAGGGGGCACTGCTGTTTTGTCACTTAACCTGTGTACTTACAGAAAATTGCAGGTGTTTACAGAATTTATGATTTAGTAAATTTAGTAACTTAGTAATGCTCATATGCCAAAGTGAGCAATTTGCACGCTTGTAGCTCTGTGTGAGTGAGTCTGGGTGGGAGAGTGTGAATGGTTCGGAATGCAGGATCCCGGTGAGTGCCATGTACACAGCAGCTAATGGGAAAGACTTACACAGGATTGGTGTATCCAGTGGTGTCAGAGGCTCTTCCCTGAAATACTGCCATCACTGGAAATGCCCTGAGTTCGGGGAAGGAGGAGGGGAGCAGCCAGCTCTTTGAAGACCTCAAGGCCCCTTCAGGGGCTGCTAGAGACTGAAAATGGAACTCACATAAACTCATTGCCCTTCCTGTGTGCTGCCGGCTTTCAGGAGCAAACAGTGGTTTTATGACAAAATCATCTAACTGCTTGTCAAGGACTTCCAATAACCCTGTGACTGATAATAATAGAGTGTTTTGGGGGAGCAGTGAGGTGGAATAATGTGTGTCTGGCTGGAGTGAATAGAAGCTGGTATTTTCCAGATAAAGTTCAAATAATTTATTTTCAAAGTATATTTAAACATTTATTTCTATAAGGAGTGCTCCAAAGAATTTTGATTAGATGGCTCAAGGTTTAAAGATAATCCTTGCATGAAGATAATCCTTGGCAAGTCAAAAATTTTCCCCACCTCCATGTTTACCTTCTTTTCCTGATTCTAATCCATCTTCTCTAATTGTGATTTCTTTGTCATATTCAGCTTTTTCAAATTACAGGTAAATGTCTTAGTTGCTACACCAGTTTCTAAATGACCACCAGGAAGTGAGAGTTAAGCCTTAGATATGGAGTTTTATTCTTGGGACACTTGCTTCTATGACACACAGTCTTCCTCATTAATACTTCCTGATGGGAACGTGGAATGCCTCGTTTTAAAAAATGTGCCATATCTGGGGCTGGTTGACTGACATGGTTTTGATTGAAAACAATCAATAGGAGTGGTATTGCTGTAAGAAAACATTTGGTGAAAATATAGCAGGAAAATATTCCAATGCACATTGTTGCCTAAATAATATTTATTCATATATTTACTTTTGGGATTTATAGGAAATGGCCTGTCTTCTTTATATGAAGATAATTCTAGTAATTTCATATTGCTGGGTGTGGTCTCATTAACACCCTGTTGTAGTTAAAATTATATTATCAGATGAACATGTTACAAGATGAAACTTGAGATTAAAAAGAAAACACTCCTTATTGTTTTTTTTATGGTTTCCTGAAGCTATGTTCCTTAAATTTCCAAACGAACTTTTGTAGGGATGAGGGGAAATGCGTAGAAGGAATTCTGGAAATCTTTGACATGCTCCTGGCAACTACTTCAAGGTTTCGAGAGTTAAAACTCCAACACAAAGAGTATCTCTGTGTCAAGGCCATGATCCTGCTCAATTCCAGTAAGTAACCACACAGCTGGGCCATGTTTTATCGGGGAGAGATGCTGTTTCTACAACTAGTGTGACAGTAAGAAGAATGTTGAACTTCTATTTTATTTGAAAAGGGTAAAATGGTTTCCTTTTGGACTTTGTTTTTATTTTGATAGCGATTTAAACTGTAGATAACTTTTGGTAACTTGGACATAAATTACTCATTAAGTGAATGACTGGCAATCAATTTAAAAGTAGTTCAAGCCACTTGCTGGAAAAGAAAAAGAAAAGAACTTTAAATTGTTTATCTTTTAACCTTTTTTCATTGCTTACACAGACACTTTACATGGTTGGCATGCATTTATACTTATGTTTGGGGTCCTACTTTTTTAGATTCATTCATTCGGTAAAGATATGGTCCTACCGTCAAATAGCTCATAGTGTAGGCAGGAAGGGAGAGAAAACAAATCATTAAAAATAATGATTTCTGTGCTATGATAAAGTCTACACAAAGTACTGCTGGAAAATAAGAGAAATGCTGGAGTTGTTGCAGAAGGGAATGATGTTTGAACAAATCTTCAGGAAAGAGCAGAGGGAAGTAGGCATGACTGTAAAATGCAGTGCTGAAGATTAGAAACTGCTGCTCGGGCTTTGGGCAGCTTAGAAGAGGTTCAGGCAGGGGAGTGTCATGCACAGATATGCAATATAGAAAGGTCACTCTGGTTTCCATGTGGAGGACTAGAAAGGGCAGAGACTGAAGCTGGGCGCCCATTAGAGGCAATGAGAGCCTGAACTGACATTGTGGCGTGAGGTCAGGGAGCAAGGGACTTGACTTGAGGGAAAAGTGGGAGGTAGAGGAGGGAAATAAGGTGTCTAGGATATGCAGATGGTTTAGTTTTGTTGGCTTTTTCTTATATAAATAATATCTGGTTATTGTAAATAAACATTCAAATGAGAAAAACTTACAAGGAAGAAAATAAAATCAGGAATACCTGCCCTTAAAATAACACTATAACTTTCGTGACCCTTCCTTCCTTCCCCTCCTTTTTTCTTTTCTTTTTTTGAGACAGGGTCTTGCTCTGCTGCCCAGGCTGGAGGGCAGTGGCATGATCATAGCTCACTGTAACCTAGAACTGAGCTCAAGTGATCCTCCCACCTCGGCCTCACAAGTAGCTTGGACTATAGGTGCATACCACCAGACCTGGTTAATTGAAACAATTTTTTTTGTAGAGACGGAATCTTGCTGTGTTGCCAGAGGTGGCCTTGAACTCCTGGCCTCAAGCAGTCTTCCCACCTCAGCCTCCCAAAGTTCTGGAATTTATAAGCATGAGCCACTGTACGCAGTCTGTATCTTGTTTTTTCACTTTTCTTTTTGAGACAGTGTCACTCTGTTGCCCCTGCTGGAATGCAGTGGCAGGATCATGGCTTACTGCAGTTCTGACCTCCTGGGCTCAAGTGATTCTCCCACCTCAGCCACCTGAGTAGCTGGGACCACAAGCACCTGCCACCACACCCGACTAATTTTTGTATTTTTTGTAGAGGTGAGGTCTCCCTGTGTTGGCCAAGCTGGTCTCGAATTCCTGGATTTTTTTTTTTTAACTTTTCAAAATGCTGTGAAATCATTCTGGGTCAACTAGGAGAGATCTAACACAATCTTTGAAATGAGGGCATTATACTAAATTGTTCAACCATTTCTCTGTTATTGAATATCCAGATCCTCTTCCTTTTTAACATTAGGAAGCATAAACATTACTGCAATAGAGGTGTGTTATTTTGTATGATTTTCTAAGTTTCTGGATGGTTGTCACACTGGTCAGTTCACGATCTACCTGGCGTCCAAGCCAGCTGCTCTAGCAGATATTGATGGCTTTGCTTAGCCATTTACTTGTTTGGCCTCTAGGTTATTGATTTTTTTTTCTTCCTCAAACACTATGTATATCCAGGTTTTAATGTTCACCTGAAGACTTACAGATATCTCTATTTGGACAACATATGGGGCTTTCTTTATTCAATCTTAGAGTTCGATGCTTGAAACAACAGGGAGGTATCAGATTATATTATACTATAGTCTTTTAAATCAGCCAAAGTAGTGGTTCCTGAAGCCAAGATTCAATGCAGAATTCACTGTGGTCACATGTTTCCAGCTCCTCTTGATCTGGGGCCAGCTGACCTTCATACATGTCTTCTCTCACAGACTCTTGGATATTGGCACGGGTTTTTTTTTTTTTTTTTTTTTTTTTGAGACAGGGTCTCACTCTGTTGCCCAGGCTAGAGTGTTAAGGATAGTTACTTTTGCAAAATATAACAAAAACGAATTATGAGAAAAAATAAAAGTGAAAAATAGAAGTCCTAGTTTATAATATTATTAGTTATATTCAACTGATTTAAAATTTCTCTGTTGATTGCTATAAAAGTTTTTGAATGCTCACACTCAATTTCTACCCATCTCTGTAAATGGGCAACAGACCATACATTAGCTCTGGAGAGAGCACAGGATCCAGTCGAGGAGTTGCTTGGATCTGGGGTGGAGGGTGGGGTTAGCCCCTGAAGAACTGGGTGAGGGAGAATGAAGAAGGAATCTGAAGACCATGTGAAGGTATAGAGACCTGGAGGACAACCTTTGAGCATTTCCTAGTTGAATCTCAATCTGGCCTTACCTGCCTAACAGGTCATTTCCCCTGCACCCAACACACCATTCCCTGTTTATAGTTACCATTCACCTTTTACAGAATAACATGAGGGCCCAGCTTACACTGATGATTATGTTGATGTGCGTATAAGGAAAGTCCAGCCAGGTTTTGTTTGTTTGTTTTTTTTTTTTGACAGAGTCTTCCTGTGTCGGCCAGGCTAGGGTGGAGTGCAGTGGTGCAATCTTGGCTCACTGAAACCTCCGCCTCCCAGGTTTAAGCAATTCTCCTGCCTCAGTGTCCCAAGTAGCTGGGATTACAGGTGCACGCCACCACTCCTGGCTAATTTTTGTGTTTTTAGTAGAGATGATATATTAGTCTGTTCTCACACTACTATGAAGAAATACCTGAGACTGGGTAATTTATAAAGGAAAGAGGTTTAATTGACTCACAGTTCAGTTTGGCTGGGGAGGCCTCAGGAGACTTACAATCATGGTAGAAAGTGAAGAGGAAGCAAGATACCTTCTTCACAAGGTGCCAGGAAGGAGAAGTCCCAAGCAAAGGCAGAAGAGACCCTTATGTAACCATCAGATCTTGTGGGAGCTCACTCACTGTCATGAGAACAGCATGGGGGAAACTGCCTCCATGATTTAATTACCTCCACCTGGTCTCTCCCTTGACCCATGGGGATTATGGAGATTACAATTCAAGATGAGATTTGGGTGGGGACACAAAGCCTAACCATGTCAGACAGGGTTTCACCATGTTGTCCCAGGCTGGTCTTGAACTCCTGGCCTCGAGTGATCCGCCCACCTTGGCCTCCCAAAATGCTGGGATTATAGGTGTGAGCTACCACATCTGGCCCACCAGCCAGGATATTTGAAATTGATCATGGAATAAAGTCAACTCTTTCCGACCTTTTCTAAACCACCTACCAACATTACCTCACATACATGCTACCATTTCTGTCAAAGGGAGGATCTGCTTGAAGAGTACCTTCCCATCTTGGCAATGGAGGATCATCAAATGCCAGATGATGGGGTTTCTCTCACTTTCAGAAATAATTTAGAACTCTTTTCTGTGCAGGAAAGTGCTTCTCAGAAAGCAGTGTTTGCTTGTTGTTACAACACTTTGCAGTATAAAGCCTTCTGTTTGGCAAGGCTCCTTATAGGCATTTTAGCCTCCCAGACATCATATTGTGTTGTTGTCAAAGCTAGACGCAGCATCTGTGCAAATGGGAAAGATGAAGGCTACAGCATTCCCCTGCAGTATGACAGAGCTGCCACATTGAGAGAATTACAGAAGGCGAGGGAGACATGTGATGTAATTACCACTTGTGGCGGTAAATGAGTAAAATTTGTTTACCGTAAATCCAAGTTTAAGAAATCTTTTCTTTTTTTTTTTTTTGAGACATAGTCTTGCTGTGTTTCCCAGGCTAGAGTGCAATGGTGCGATCTCGGCTCACTGCAACCTCTGCCTCCTGGGTTCAAAGGATTCTTCTGCCTTAGCCTCCTGAGTAGCTGGGATTACAGGCACCCACCACCACGCCTGGATAATTTTTGTATTTTTAGTAGAGATGGGGTTTCACCATGTTGGCCAGGCTGGTCTTGAACTCCTGACCTCATGATCCACTTGCCTCGGCCTCCCAAAATACTGGGCCTGCGCCTGGCCAGAAATCTTCTTTTAAGGAACTTCCTTTCTTTCTTGGTAGTCATAACAATTGTCAAAACAAATTGATCCTGTTCAGCATTGCTATGGAGAAAATGGGACAATTTTCACTGCTAGGATAAGTGAGTCTTTTCTATGCTAGGTTTTAAGGGTTTGTAAGTACAGGCTTTTTTATTCTGGATGGTATTTAAATTGAAAAGAAAAATAGGGATGTAATCTGCCTCCCTGCCTTAAAATTTAAAACCCTGACAGAATATATAAAACAGATATTGGACATTGGACAGCAGTGTTCCCCAGGAGGAGGGACACAAACGAGGAGAGTCCTTTGTCCAGTTTACTGCCTGGAGCCAGTTTCCAGGTTGCAAAGCAGGGATGTGGGTGTATTAGCTTTCTCCAGAGAAACAGAACCAATAGGATGGATAGGTAAGTAGGTAGATAAATGAGAGGAGATTTATCATGAAAATTGACTTGAATGATTATGAAGGCTGAGAAGTCCCGTGATATGCATCTGCATGCTAGTTAGCCAGGGAAGCCAATAGCATGGCTCAGTGTAAATGGAAAGACCTGAGAACTAGGGAGCTGATGGTGTAACCCTCAGTTTGAGATTGAAGGCCTGAGAAACCAGGAGGCCACTGGTGTGAGTCCCAGAATCTGGCAGCCGGAGAACCTGGAGCTCTGATGTCCAAGGGCAGGAGAAAATGGGTGTCCCAGCTCCGAGAGAGAGAATTTTCCTTT